TTTAAAAAAACATTATTTTTTTGTGATATCTACCTCAAATTTGGAACACAGCTTGTTTAGATTTCTGACTTAGATTGTATTGCAGTTTTAGAGTAAAACATGTTTTGGAAAATATATATTTCATGTAAAATGTATTTTTATTTCTTTTATTTTATTTTTAATAATGATAAACTTGTATAATTTTAGTTTCACTTTAGCAATAATCCCTTATGAAAATTAACCATGGTTTTATTGTTACTACAGTTAAACCATGGTAACCACAAATTAACCATGGTAACCATAGTTTATACATGCTATTTGCAGTAAGGTTATACAAATAGTAATCAATATGCCAAAAAACATGGTTACTATACAATTACTATAATAAAATCATGGTTAATTTTCGTGAGGGATGTGCCAAGCGTTTTCTTTAAAAAGAGACCAAACTTCAGTCTGTGCTCCAAAGCATTCAAGATTTATCACAGATTCAGTTTCTAAAGAAATGTCATTTACAAAATTTGATATAAAAAACATTATCAAACTAAAATATAGTACATTAATTTAATAGAAATTTAAAAAAAGAAAAAAAAATCAGTAATGTTTGACCGCCACACAAACAGCACAGAGGGTTAATAAAAGTCTGCATGATCTCTTCACCACACGTGTGTTTCACGGTCAAATTACGTAACATGTAGTTTCGATGGCATCTGTGGTTGCCAGCTCTCTTTATCCGGGACTACGGAATATCTCCATCCGCTCCGCCTGCCGTCTAATTGATCGATCAGAGTTATTGATCCGACCGCAGGCTAACAGTGTGTGTTTTACATGATTGTGTTAAGTTCCTGTTGCTAATGCATGTGTGTGTGTGTGTGTGTGTGTGTGTGTGTGTTTCGACGGTGTTCGCGTGTAATGTTTGACCGCCACACAAACAGCACAGAGGGTTAATAAAAGTCTGCATGATCTCTTCACCACACGTGTGTTTCACGGTCAAATTACGTAACATGTAGTTTCGATGGCATCTGTGGTTGCCAGCTCTCTTTATCCGGGACTACGGAATATCTCCATCCGCTCCGCCTGCCGTCTAATTGATCGATCAGAGTTATTGATCCGACCGCAGGCTAACAGTGTGTGTTTTACATGATTGTGTTAAGTTCCTGTTGCTAATGCATGTGTGTGTGTGTGTGTGTGTGTGTGTGTGTTTCTCAGCCGTTATCGTTCCAGAGTCATTAGGAGGAAAGAGTCGTCCTGTACGACGGGCACAAAGAGGACAGGAGGAGGAAAAGAGCGGCTGATTACAGAGAGAGAGAGGGTAAATAAAGCAGCTTTACTGCAGGGGAAGAAGAAGAGGAGAATGGAGAAAGAAAGATAAGAGATAATGGAAGCTCTGCAGCAGGCGGACAAATGAAAAGCGTCTCGCTGTGGCTGTAAGGAGTCATTTCTGAGCCTCGCTGTTCATTACCTGCTGCTGAAGCTAGTGAGCTGCCGACACATGGTGCATACTAACTCAAACTAACCTCCAGACACGGCAAACCACCTACAGAAACTGCACACTTATTTGAATCTGTCCTTGCTAGTTTTTCATGAAACGTATGTTCCTTCTCTCAGCTCAAATGTTTTTCACTGGAATTCATTACAAATAATAAAAGTATGTTGCTTTAGAATTTGACTAGCTAGTTTGTTTCCACAACAATGCATCGTATTATGGTGGTTAATCAGCGAGTTACGTCGTTGTACGGGAAACGCAGCCCAGGTTGATGTGTGTGTGCCCTTACAAGGAATTCCGCCCTTTATGACGTCATGCAGGGCCATACTCGAAAAAAAAACTTTCCGAAACGTATACACTTCCTGAAGGAGTGTATGTGGCACAGAAATACTCCGTCATACGTCCAACTCGTTTTTTTGAAACATGTTTAGCATGAGAATCCAACTATTTAACAGTGTAAATAAGTAAGAATGCATGAAATAGCATTAGACCCCCCATTTAAATATTATATAACAACTATTGAATAACTATAAAAATAGACCTACAAGTATATTTATAGTCAGCATTACTCTCAAATTTTTTGCCATGATTTTGTTACTGTACAATGCATTCTGGAATTGTCATATCAATGCAGGATATGTGCAATGCTTCCTTTAGACTTAAAAAAAAGAGGAATCTTAGAAGGCAGCAAGGCTACGATTCTGTCTAGTTAGAGAGCTCTGTGGGATCTGAAACAGAGCCCGTGTGTGAATGATAAAACACGCATGTCTTCAGAAGAGGAGAGTTAATCAAGACTAAGTGTGGAGTATTGATCTGCACTAACCAGTCAGAGACAGAGAGAGAGAGAGAGAGAATAAAGCAGGAGGAGAGGAAATCATCCTTCTGGTAATTTATTTAATTATTATTTGATTTACAACTATGCTTACTCAAATAATTCAACATGCATGTGCATCAAATGCATGACGCAAATGAACATGCAAATGCATTACAGCGTTTGATGAAATAAAGAAATGAGCTCCGTACGGCCTAACAACACCAAAAATCATCAAATAACAGTTTCACCATATCCTTCAGACATGATGCAGCAAGTTTCCAGAGACTAATCATTTTTCTGTCCTCGCGAAAAGACGAAATTCTGCAAGATGCGACACAATCACAGCCAATCACGATATAATGAATGACCTCGACAGCTGCTGATGCAACAAAGTTGTTTTCATTTGATAAAAAACTATTGCCATATCATATATACACAGAAACTCAAACGTCGTCATGGAGACTCGTCAAGTCTGTTTCATGAATTCAGTTAATTAGATATGCTTTTTGATTACTAAAATGTAATGTAACCATTAAAACGGACCTTAAAACAAAAAACAAAATCAAAACAAAAAAACAGAATGTGGGGGAAAATACATACAAAATGTGGCGACTACCAAAGCAACTTATAATTGCATTTACTACTTAAACTATCATAATAAACTGCCATGTAATTAATATAGATGCTAAACATGACAGTGCTCTGTCAAAACATCTAGAAAACATCTGGAGAATGTCAGCTCTGTAATTTGGTTTATGTTTTGTGTATATATGTATGTGGGTCAAAGACGAAAAAGGCTTTAAGCATAAAAACAATAAGTTTAATACTGCTTCAAATTGTTGTTTTTCACACACACACACACACACACACACACACATACAAAATTCTGTTTAATTTAATTGCAATTTTGTTTTTGTTTTTCTGAGCAAAAAATTAAATATGATACATTTTCCCCTGATTTACAGAAGAGACCCACTAAAATGTCATTCAGTGTAACAATCTTGTCAGGCATATTTACAACAAAAATCTATTTATGACATATTAAAAGACTAATTACTTTCACCCCAAATACTAATTAGTTGCAATTTGACTATCCTAGGTTTTGCCCATTTGTCAGTAAGAATTTTTTACTCATTTAAAATACAATAACATTTAATATGCTCCCTTATTCTTTTATATATTTTAATATGTACACGTCAGAATAAGCATGTTGTTTGAATTTTTACATAAATATTGTGTTACACTGAATGACAATGTAACATTATTTTGACATTTTATTCTCCAAAAACCTTAAAAGTAGACACTTTACTTAGATTTAATGTGCTTTCTATTGACATAAATCACTTTTGTAAATTTCTTTTGATGCGGACATCTTAATGTCTTTGACCCATGTACATGAATAGCATATAATAGATAAATATAAACTTATATAACAGACAGAGTGAAGGAAACACACACACACTCACACACTCCAGTTCCTTAAATACGCTCAAATCTGCCCAGCCCACACATGTGCTGCACTACCTGCTGCCAAAACAATAAACTCATCCAGACCCAGAGAGATCATTGAACAATACAACGACAGACTCTACCCACACACACACACGCACACACACACACACGATCCATCAACAAGTACGACACAGGACGGTATCGCTGGCAAATACCACACAACCACCCACATTACACACCATTTAAAAGCCCTCACACACACACACACACTCAGGAAAAAACCCTCCATTACATCAAAGGGCGGAAAAAAGCAGCTTGTCGTCTTTACAGCATGTGAGTACAGACAGAAATGTGTGGGTACAAAGACAGAGATGAATAATAGAGGATCAGCTCCAGAATCCAGTCAGCTCCTACAGACTCCAGTTTTAGACAGCAGAGGTGATTTCAATACTTTCAGCTGATTATATTCTAACACTGTATGCATCACGTATGCTATCAATCATATGTAAAAAGTGAGAGAAATTACATTTGTTACATTTAGAATTTACACTACAGTTCAAAGGTTTGGGGCTGGTACATTTTTTATGTTTTTGAAAGAAGTCTCTTCGGTCCACCAAGGCTGCATTTATTTGAAAAATACAGTAAAAATTGTGAAATATTATTACAATTTGAAATAAATGTTTTTATTTGAATATATTGTAAAATTAAATTTATTTCTGTGATGCGCAGCTGTGTTTTCAGCATCATTACTCCAGTCTTCAGTGTCACATGATCTTCAGAAATCAGTATAATATGCTGATTTACTGCTCAAGACACATTTCTGATTATTATCAATGTTGAAAACAGTTGTTGTGCTGAATATTTTTGTAAAAACTGTGATATATAATAAAAGTTTAATAGTTTTTTTATTTCAGTTCCACTTTTGCCTATATTTTCTGGCTAGAAATTTCAGCAAAATATTGTAGTTTGACTGGACTCATAATATATATATATATATATATAGGCTATATATATTACATTTAATAAACTTTATTTAAATTTAATTTAATTTTAAATATTGTAAATAAAAATACTGTTTGATTGGACTGACAACCTTTGACCATATCATAATGCGGTGTGTTTTCTCATGCTTGATGATTTGGCTTCTTTTTCAAACTACTTTCATTGGCAAAGAAAAAGTCCAAACTAACTGGCCAATTTCATGAAAGTAGTATTTTCAGAGCAGACCCTACCATGGTGTTTGTTTGTTTGTGCGATTCTTTCATCACTCACCCAGCCATCCGGCTCCAGAGTTGGGCACACACATGTCCGTCTCAGCACTGGGCAGCACAAACCCCACAACGAACACCTCCACCCCGTCAGACATGAGTGCCAGGCCCAACACGAAGAACAGCTGCCACTGGAAGCGTCCGTGTCCACACTCCTGCATGATGAGCTCGTACTGCTGCGCCAGCTCTTCCTCATCCGCCTCTCTCTCCTTCTCCAGCTCTCGCTTGTCCTTCATTCCATCCGTCAACAGCTGGCCAATCGCCACCTGGCCACGCCCATCCGTGGCCCCGCCCCCAGCAGGCACACCCTGGTACTCGCCCTCGTATATTTCGTCTTCGTCGTCGTGGCCCTCGGTGGCGTCGCTGGATCCCTCGTCATCCTCTCGCTGAGCCTGGCCGTCCTGATAATTGTAACAGTCTTCGTCGGCGCCCTCGTTTTCGTCGTTTTCAAAGCGGCTGTAGCTGCGGCCGGAGTATTCGTTCGAAGCACGGTCCACCACTTTGTTGACCTTCTTGGCGGCGTGGCGTTTCGCCTCCTTGGCGATGTCACGAGCGCCTTTGACCAGAGATGTCCTGTCTCTGTACGGGTCCTCCATCTTGGCAGAGTTCAGCTGTTTAGCTGCAGAAGTGGATTCCACCAGTCAGGAATCAAATGTGAGTTTCAGAGGACGAGATCAGCGTCACTGTGGGTCAGTCCAGTGGTTTGGAGAAAGACAGCAGTGGACAGGAGAGCGTGACGTATGTGGTTCCTTCTGATGGACAGCTTCATTCACTCAGAGAGGAAGGGAACTACGGGGAGAAGAAACAGAGTCATATTTTTATTCTCTACTACAGGCACAAACTTAAATTTAATTCGACATATATATATATATATATATATATATAGAGAGAGTACTTAGGACCATGTGATATTTCAGTTTTTCTTTTTTAATAAATCTGCAAAAATGTCAACAATTCTGTGTTTTTCTGTCAATATGGGGTGCTGTGTGTACATTAATGAGGAAAAAAATTAACTTAAATGATTTTAGCAAATGGCTGCAATATAACAAAGATTTAAGGGTTTAAGGGGGTCTGAATACTTTCCGTACCCACTGTATATATATATATATAAAGTACACACACACACACACACACACATATATATACATATATATAATTTATCATTCAAATATGTGTCAATATAAAATTAACTTGTATTATTTTTTTCAATTTTATCTATCTATCTATCTATCTATCTATCTATCTATCTATCTATCTATCTATCTATCTATCTATCTATCTATCTATCTATCTATCTATCTGTCTATCTGTCTGTCTGTCTGTCTATCTATCTATCTGTCTGTCTATCTATCTATCTATCTATCTATCTATCTATCTATCTATCTATCTATCTATCTATCTATCTATCTATCTATCTATCTATCTATCTATCTATCTATCTGTCTGTCTGTCTGTCTATCTGTCTGTCTATCTATCCACTCACAAATCAAAGAAAATCCAATCTAAAAACTTTAAATTACTATCAAATTTCAGTCTACTTCAGGTCTGAATTAGCTGGGTATTTTTGGTTTTAACTGAATAGCTGTAATTGAAAAAGTGAAAGCGTTGCAGATCTCAGGTGTTCATGTGCCCTGCAGAAACACAGGAGTGCCATGAATCAGGCCGGCACAACGGGCAGAGGACAGAGAGCCCAGTTTAACTGCATGCGTTCACAGCTCCGCTTCACACTGTTCACCTCCACAGGAAGAGATGTGGACATTAACAGGACAGAGACCTCCACACGCAGACATTACAGGACACTGACACTTCACACACATGTGTAACAAATAAACACACACACTCGCTTTCTCTGACCCCAGTAAACTCAGTGAATCTCTTTGAAAATTATCAGTCTATCTCACACGTACCAGATATCTCTGAGAAGAAAACCAGAGAATATAACAGAGAATATTCCATCTGTGATGACGACGTCCACAAAAATGCAATTAAATTCTACAATAAGGTGCATCAATACAACAGTACAGTCTTATCGTACTTTCCTTCCACTCCAAACACTTCCAGATAGTTTGGTGCATCACACAAAGGCTCTATTCTATTCTATTCATAAGAGAATTAAGGTTACAGTTAAGGTTTCAAATAGAACCAGAACATTCTAAATCATAGAAGAACCTTTAGAAGTTCCAGAAATAACTTTTTATTTTCTTTAGTTTTGGTGTTTTAGTCCCGGAAAACAAAACACATTAAAACATTAAGAAACATTTCTTTATGTATAATATAAATGCAATAAATAATTTTTTTAAAACTATTAATTTATTAATGAATCCTTTTGTCACCAAGGCAAATTCCTTGAGTGAGCAAACATAATTGGCAATAAATCTCATTCTGATTCTGATTATTAAAAAATGTGATTCATCAACGATTCATTTTATTTTTGAGTCAGTTCTTTTTAATGAACCCGTTCACAGACTCTAAATGCATGGAAAAGTTTTTGCTATGGAAAAGCATAATCTTGATTAGAATATTCAGCATTGTCATTTATTAAAACCGATTTAAAAGATCAAATCACAAGGTTTGGGAACACATGAAGACATAAAACAACAAATTAATCAAAAGATCTGATTCTCAGAAATGAGTCGGTCGTATGTTTGGCCTCTTTTCTGAAAAATCAGCAAAATCTGTCCAGATTCAGCTGAAACGAAACGAATGATTCTCTAACAGTCGTGTTTCACGGGCCGCTGATGCTGTCGCAGAAGCCCTCATTAATCACGGAGGGGAACACGAGCGCTTTCTCTCTCACACCCTATACAGTATGCACTTAACATGAAATACTGTAAGAAGACATGACGTGACAGACCTGACCCGTAACACGTAACAACAGATCAATCAATCACAAATCTGGTCAAATGAAAGCAGCCTTTTCATTAAAATTACTTTCCCTCAAAACGGCATGTCCGGAACGCTGCAGCCAGACCTAAAAACCAGCAAAGCATGGCATAATTTCCTCTTAGACCAAATAAAGGCAGTCCCTGACGTAACTATGACATCATTCGAGGGCTGATGTAATCAATGCGACACCCGTTTTTCTGCATTAACCCCAATGTGAGCGCGGGAGGGGGAGGAAAGGGAATGAACTCGCGGGACGCTGCAGCATCAGCCGTAAGCCGAGCGGTTTGACCCCTTCACAAATAGGTAATTGCACTAAATACGTGTAACGTCAGGGCAAACGAACGACACACACACACACACCTTCAACATTTAATGACTAGTGTTTGATGATATGTTGCAGTGAGTAATTATAAAGTTGCACGAGGAAGGTCGCGCTGTATTCCATTGTCCCTGGATCACCTTGCGGAAAACAGATCTGTGGTTCATAAGACTTGGTGGTTTGGTAAAAAGCTGTAAACTTCTTACACAACTAAAGACTGCACACACACACACACACACACACACATATATGTGTATCCTGCAGTAATGTAATGATGGATAGCTGAAGGCTTCACTGGTCACTGGGACTCTCCAGCAGCTGTGAGAGTCTCATACTGGACGCCTGCACAGATTGGATGAAGGCAATGGTGTGTGTGTGTGTGTGTGTGTGTGTGTGCGTCTAATGTAGACAGATTCCTACAGTTTGATCTATTACCTCTACAGTAAAAACTGTACAGACTGAGTACAATCTATTAAAAAAAAATCAGATTTTGGTGAAACTGCGTGATATAAGGAGTTAAACAGTGCTGTAACATTATATAGGCTTGAAATATAATATATATATATATGTATACTGTATGTTGATATAATCGAAAGTAGTTAGGTGGATTGAGTCATATTAAATCAACATTTAATGACTAGTGTTTGATGATATGTTGCAGTGAGTAATTATAAAGTTGCACGAGGAAGGTCGCGCTGTATTCCATTGTCCCTGGATCACCTTGCGGAAAACAGATCTGTGGTTCATAAGACTTGGTGGTTTGGTAAAAAGCTGTAAACTTCTTACACAACTAAAGACTGCACACACACACACACACACACACACATATATGTGTATCCTGCAGTAATGTAATGATGGATAGCTGAAGGCTTCACTGGTCACTGGGACTCTCCAGCAGCTGTGAGAGTCTCATACTGGACGCCTGCACAGATTGGATGAAGGCAATGGTGTGTGTGTGTGTGTGTGTGTGTGTGTGTGTCTAATGTAGACAGATTCCTACAGTTTGATCTATTACCTCTACAGTAAAAACTGTACAGACTGAGTACAATCTATTAAAAAAAATCTGATTTTGGTGAAACTGCATGATATAAGGAGTTAAACAGTGCTGTAACATTATATAGGCTTGAAATATAATATAATATATATATATATGTATACTGTATGTTGATATAATCGAAAGTAGTTAGGTGGATTGAGTCATATTAAATCATATTTTTCTCCTGAATAAACCAGGATATATAAGAGGATAAAGAAAAATAATTTAGACAGATAAATATTTTTTTTGTAAACTCAATATATATATTGTAAATATTTACAATTTTTAAAAGTTGCAACTATGACATTATAGAACATAATTTTGGCCTTAAAAAACAAACAAAAAAAATGTTAATACCCTAAATAGTTGAGTGGATTGAGCCACAATAAATTATATTTATATTCTGAATAAAACCAGGATATATAAAGAGGATAAAGAGAAATAAGATTAAATTCAAGATTCCAAAGAGAACAGAACATTCTAAATCATAGCAGTTTAAAAGTTTAACGTTTAAAGAACTTTTTATTTCCTCTCTGAATGAAGTCTCTGATTGCAAAACACTGAAACATCAATAATCATACAGCAACTCAAGAACAATATATAGACTGTACATACTGTACATACACAAGGATTTTATCATTTACCTAAAAAATAAGTTGTTTTGGTTGTAGAATTAACTTTGGTGAAATAGCACACTGTGAGGGATTAAAAGGTGCAGTTCTTGCGTTATTATCTTTGGACTAAAACAAAAACCTGAAAAAATGTTGCTGCATTGCACATCTTAAATTACATGTGACTATATGATATATTTGTACATTTATACATTTATTTGACACACCACAGTACACTATTTAAGTGTAATGGAAAAACAAAAAGCGAATTAAAATGGTGAAATGGAATACATTTGAACCTAAAATCTTGATAATGAAAAAAAATAATTTGTATGTCATAAGAAGTCATTTCAAACTACATAAATGTAACACACACAGCGGGTTACTGTGTGTAAAGTGAATGTCTGTGCTTTTCCTGTCAGTGGCTCAGACTACAGGTCAAAGGTCACAGCTCTGTGTGCTGAGGGACTCTTTGTCTGATCCACTCCACTGATCAGCTGACACACTCATATACCAGAGAGAGAGAGAGAGAGAGAGAGTGTGTGTGTGTGTGTGTGTGTGTGTGT